AAAAACATTGTTTACATTGTTTTTCTTATCAAAAAAAGGAACCAAGTATTTCCTGGTTTCTGGGTCAATTTTGGCTAATTTCTACAGAGAAATTAAGCTGACTTAACAAAGATGAAAAACCAGGAATTCTCAAAATGTCTGTTAGGTGTCAAGGTCACTTTTGGTTACCCTATTGAAAAAAAACACGTATAATTATACGTATAATAATATGTATAATAATATGTATAATAATACGTATAATTATATGTATTATTATATGTATTATTATACGTATAATTATACGTATTATTATACGTATAATTATACGTATAATAAGACATACGAATTTGAAACAAGAATTATACGTATAATTATACGTATAATAATACGTATAATTAATTATACGTATAATAATACGTATAATTATACGTATTATTATACGTATTATTATACGTATAATTATAATTCTATTAAAAATAGAATAATAGAATAGAATAATAATAGAATAATTAGTAGCAAAATTGCGCTGAAAATTTTTAGAAATTTTAAAATGCAAATTAAATTTCACGAAAAAAAATATCGTCGAATGTCAATTCAAGCAGTCACCCATCCAAGTACTAACCGCGTCCAACGTTGCTTAACTTCCGTGATCTGATGAGAACTTGTTCTTTCGCCTTGGTGTTTCCGCTGTCTTGTCTTGATTAATAACTTTGTCGTATAAGTATTGTATCGCACCTCACTTTTAGTGATACTTATACGACAAAGTTATTAATCAAGACAAGACAGCGGAAACACCAAGGCGAAGGAACAAGTTCTCATCAGATCACGGAAGTTAAGCAACGTTGGACGCGGTTAGTACTTGGATGGGTGACTGCTTGAATTGACATTAGACGATATTTTTTTTCGTGAAATTTAATTTGCATTTTAAAATTTCTAAAAATTTTCAGCGCAATTTTGCTACTAATTATTCTATTATTATTCTATTCTATTATTCTATTTTTAATAGAATTATAATTATACGTATAATAATACGTATAATAATACGTATAATTATACGTATTATTATACGTATAATTAATTATACGTATTATTATACGTATAATTATACGTATAATTCTTGTTTCAAATTCGTATGTCTTATTATACGTATAATTATACGTATAATTATGCGTATAATTATACGTATAATAATACGTATAATTACACGTATAATAATACGTATTATTATACGTACAATTATACGTGTTTTTTTTCAATAGGGTAATTTCGACAGGAATTTTGACAACTAACAATTATTGAAAACCCGGAGTTCTCACCATGACTGACCAGTGTCTAGGTCAATTTTGGTCAATTTCTACGACGAAATTAACCCAAGTTAACAAAGATAGAAAACCAGAGGGTCGATAATGTAATTTGATTTCCAGGTTTTCTAATTTTTATTTCTATTTCCACTTCTACTTTTTTGTATTCATTGACACTTTCACTTCCACTATTTCTAATTTTCATTCCCACTTCCATTTCGATTTCTATTCTTTCTGATTTCCATTCACACAACCATGTCGACTTTTTTAAATTATATTGGATGGAAATTAAAAAAATGGAAATGGAAGTAGAAGTGAAAATAAGAATAAGGTGTAATGAAAATAAAAAAAGTTTAAGTGGAAGTGGGAATGAGTATTAGAATATGTGGAAGTGAAAGTGGCAATGAATATAAAAAAATGAAAGTGGAAATGGGAATGAAAATTAGAAAACCTGGAAGCGAGAATGGAAATCTAATTACATACACAACCGTCAGAAATTGTACGACCTCTACTTTTTCGTCGACTATAAAGTGATTTAAATCTACAAAAATATTAAAACTAAAATTTTTTCCTTTTTATTTTATAAAAGCAAATATATAAATTTTTCAATTAGATATCTAAGAAAAATCCAATTTTATTTTTTTTTACTATTTTTTTCTCTGGTAAAAATTAATATTATTAATTTATACTTAAAGACTTTTTTGAAATTTAATCATTTTTAGTACACCTGTAATTACACATGTACTTTATAATTTGAAACTAAATTACATGTGTAAAAACTTATAAAGTATTTGAGAAACATTAAAGTATAAAATACACGTGTAAAAGTTAAAAAAATATTTTAGAAATGTCAAAGTATAAATTACACGTGAAATTTTCTGAAAAATATCTTTCAAATTAAAGTACAAATTTGTTTTGAATTTTGTGCATTAAGAAGGGTTCTGTGTAATAAGAACAAAAAATATTTAACTCATTTCATACTAAGGGTTTAAACAAAACATCATAATGTCGTTATTACTAAATTTGGCGATTTTATAACTCTGATTTGCTAGATAAACAATTCTGAATGTTAACGTTGTTAAAATGATTTGTTAACCTGAAAATGCTAAATTTGTCCTCTAACAGTCACAGTTTGTACATATACTGCCATTATCGCAGTTCACACCAGTTGACGGTAGTTTAGTATGTTTAAGGTATATTTAGTATGTCAGTCGCGAGAATATTAATTATTTTTCTTAAATATAAAAAGTAAATTATTTTTCAATATGGATCTTCAAAAATAAATTTTAGTGAGAAATTTTGCGTTTAAAACGACATTTTCAGGTGTAAAAATTTATAAAATATTCGAGAAACATCAAAGTATAAAGTACATGTGTAAAAATTTATACAATATTTTAGAAATGTCAAAGTATAAATTACACGTACCAAAAATCATGAAATTTTAAAAAAGTTTTAAAGTATAAATTACACGTGTAAAATTTATAAAGTATTCCAGAAACATCAAAGTATAAAATACACGTGTAAAAGTTGAAAAAATATTTGAGAAATGTCAAAGTATAAAATACACGTGTCACTTTTACATGTGTAAAAGTTTATAAAATATTCGAGAAACATCAAAGTATAAATTACACGTGTAATTACATGTGGCCAAATCTACACGTTTAAATACACGTGTAATTTTTTCTATGGCTGTCAGTATGGCAACCTTATTTTTCTCCGTGTATAGGTGCACCTACCGCCTGCTAGCTTCAGGTACAGTACTTTTCACATACGCAATAATTTCAAAAGGTTTGCCTACACTCTATGTTGTTCTTGAGCCATGGCTTATTGAACTACCGGAATGTGGAAACGGAATGTCATTAAAAGGAGGTTATATTATTTCAAAAAGTTTAATTTTTAATTGACGAATTTATGACGATGTTAATTATTAATGTGAATGTATTTCTGTATAAAGTAAATTAAGTGCCTTTAGTATAAAAAAATTAAAAAATTTAAAATTGAATTTCAAACCCTGAAACTGAAGAGTTTATAACAACAGACGTTTTTGAATTTTCAGCCTCATGATTTTCGTTAAACTTTATTTAAAACATTATATTTGAATTATAATCAAAGTAAATAATAATTAAAAATATTTAACGAGGTAAGTAAAAAACATTTAAAGATTTATACATTACCGTCGGAAATTGTCGGTACGACTAACGTACGAGGAGTGGACATTCGGCGCTGACTTTAAAGCAGGATTCTGCTTCTGAATGTATATCAAGAAATTTTTTTTCTATTTTTTGTATTTATAACACCGAAAAGATTTCAAGCAAAAATTATGCAATTTTCGTACTATCGTACTAATGTTTTTGAGTTCCGGCATAATCTAGAATAATGTATGGAAAAATTTGACAATTTTACTACATAATCTTTAAGATTATTATTATTATTATCTTTAATTTGCATTTTTGAAACTTGAAAAATGTTTTGTGGTTCCGGAAATATGTTAAAAAAGGTCCGAGCATGTTTTTCTACAAATCAGCCGTCGATCATCATTTTTTGCCGCCTCGCTGCTGGCTTGTAGAAAAACATTCTCGAACATTTTTTAACATATTTCAGGAACTACAAAACATTTTATAAGTTTTGAAAATTAAAATCAATTTATTTAATGCAAGAGTTGAAATGTTTTTAAATTTCTAGTGTGCATATCAAACTTTATTAAAAATTAAATTTTTCTACTTATTCAGTTTTATTTTCATGTTTTTCAGAATTAAATTTAAAAAAAAAATGCAATGACCTGCCCCAGAATAATTAAGAAATACTAAAAATATCAGGAGATATTGGATCGCGTTTCGAGACTCTATTTCTTCATACAAGAAACAAGTTGGCTAAGAGTTGCACATGGAAAGTATCAATCTTATGTCAAAGCAAGCATCGGATTAAACGACTTTTTTTTAATTTTTCGAAATTATGACTTTTTCGACTTATTTTAATAAAATGCGACTTTTCGACTTTTTTACAAAATTTTTTGAACAAAATACGACTTTTTTAGTATACAATGCAGATTTTCTTAAAATCTTCTTTATTTCAATTATATAACTAGTTTTTAATTAAAATTTTTCTCTCAATTTATTATTTTTAATAATTTTATGACATTCTTCACAAATTCAATTTTTCTTAAGATATTTTTTAATTAAAAATTTTACGAAATTCAACAATTGTTTACAATTTAAAAAATATCAAATAAAACCACCAAAAATTTCAATTTAAATCCTTTTAAAATTTAATTTTTTTAAATTTTACAATCTAAAACTTTCTGAAATTTAATAATTTTAATAATAACTCTTCCAAAATTCAATTATTTTCAATGATTTTTATAATATTCTTCGAAAATTCAATTTTTTGAAAATATTTTTCAATAAGATAATTTTAAAGTTCAATTTTTGTCTTTAATTTTTAATAAATTCTTTAGCAAAAGAAATCATCTAAAAAATTCTAATTCAAAATCATTTGAATTCAATTAATTTGAAAAACTTTAATTCAAAACTTTCTAAAATTTAATATTCAACAATAATTGCTATATTTTCTAAGTTACTATATAAAAATAAAATTGTAAAATATTTTTATCGTATTTATTATAAATGTAGTTTTAATACAATAATTATTATAATTGTAAAAATGATTTTAAAGGAAACAACAAAAATTTTAGTATGATAAATTAATAACTGGTAGAATAACCTTGGCTGTATATAACACTTCGTAAACGTCGAGGCATGGAGTAAATACAGTTAGCTACAATCTGTGTCCTTTGTCTTAAATCATTCCAAGACTGGTGGACATGGTTGTTTAATACTTGTCTTATGTGATCTTCACCTGCTCGCTATCTTTGCAACATATAACCCCATACATTTTCTATTTCATTTAAATCTGGGGATTTTACTGTATGTGGCATTAAAGTAATCTCCGGATGGCATTCATACCACTGGTTTGTTATATGCGCAGTGTGGACTGAACTATTGTCCTGGATTACTTTATACTCTTCTTCATCGGTAAGTAAGCGACAAACATTCGGATGAAAATGGTTTTTAAGTAGGTAGACGTAATCATTCGCATTCATTCGTCCATTCACTTGTATTACTTCACTAACGCCAACTGCAGTAATGAAACCCCAAAACATGCAGCTAATTCGACCACTGTGATGTATTGGAGCTACAAAGTAAGGATCTAATCTTCCACCTCTTGGCCTTTTGACAAATAAACGGCCATCTTCTGACGAAGAGAATGATTTTTCGTCCATACAAATGACGTTCATACAAAATTCTTCCGGTTCAAGAAAATACTGCAAAGTGTATCCAATCCTCTCCTCCCGTTGCTTAAAGGGGATGTTTTCCTTCCTGGTCTGCAAGATCGGATTCCGAATTCCAATAGGCGTCTTCTAATTGTTATCGGTGATATATTTGGGAGTACCTCGTTTCGAATTGCCTCAAAAGAAGCGAACGGATTTTCATTGACCACAAAATTTCTAATGGATTCGTCCTCCTCAGCCGTCGATACTCTGTGTCTTCGATTTCCTAATCGATGATCTGATAAGGCAACACATCCACCTAGTTGAAATGCTCTCACCCAATGTTTCACTGTTTTAATTGAGCATTCAGCTTCGAGAGCGTCACAATTTTGCATCGCATTGGCACTGAAAAAAATTTGAAAATTTGACTTTTGAAATATTTTATCTATTCATTTAGTCTTTCTAAGGTAAATTAACAGATTTTTACATTTAATTATTGATTGGCTTGTAAATTTATTTTTTAAAAACATAATTTTGTAATCTGTACAATTCTTTTCCCATTCAAAAATTTTGTTTTTTTTATTCTTTGAATAAAATTTGTTTTTATGAACAATTTAAAAAAAAAACGATAAATTAATAATTTACGCAAGAAGTATTCTGCAATATTTAGTCAATATTTGGTAATATTTATTACAATGTTAAATAATAAATTACCCTGGCGGATTAGGTAAACCGAGATGTAACCGAATTGGGTTACGATTCAATTACGTTTCGGTTACTTGTGAAAAATTGTCGTTAATCGATGAAATATGTTGTAAATAACTATTAGGAATGGTTAATAGACATTTAGAGGTCTTATTTATACAATAATAACAATAAATTAAGATATAATTACTCAATAATAAGTGTTTTAAGTGTACAATGCATACAGTTGTTGAGTTACCATATATGCATATTACCATCAGCGAAAGCTGTGATACGCGCTTTAAACAGTAGATGGCGTTGAAAATTACTTTGTGAATGAATTTCTAAAATTAAACTTGAGAGTGTCAAATGTGTAAGTGAATATAAGTTTTAAAAAAATTGATCGATTAATTAAAACAACTTTTTTCATTAAATATAAAAAAAATTTCTCAATAAAAATTTTTTTTTCCTCAATGACATGAGAAAAATTAATTGTGACACAAAGAAATCTGTTTTTCTCTAAAAAAAATTGGTTTCTTAATAATAATTTTTTTTTCACAATAAAATGAAAAGATTAATTTTTACACAAACAAATTATTTTCTAAATAAAAAATTTTTATTTTTTCAATGAAATGAGAAAAAGTAATTGTGACACAAACGAAATTTTTTTCCTCAATAAAATAAGAAATATTAATTTAAAAAAAAAATTTTTTCTGAATAAAAAAATTTCTTTTTTCAATGAAAGGAGAAAGATTAATTTTGACAGAAAAAAAAGTTTTTTTCATTAAAAAAATTTTTGTTCCTAATAAAATTTTTTTTTATTTGTACAAATGAAAAAAGTTGTTTTAATAAATAGATCTATTTTTTTAAAACTTATATTCACTTACACATTTGACACTCAAGGGTTTAATTTTAGAAATTCATTCACAAATATGGGAACAACTATGTTGTTACCCATAAGCGTAGCTTGGAAGCCACTAGTCCTTTCGTCCCGGTCCCCACTACTGGACTCATCAGTAAGGCTACGTAGTGGGAAACCTGCCTTATACGACCATGGGGAAGTGAGAGTTGGATCGTGTATATATGCTACACGCCAAGCAACAAAGTAATCTTCAACGCCAACTAGTGTTTAACGCGCGTATCACAGCTGCCGCTGATGGTAATATACATATGAGGCAAAATTCCTGAAATGTGTAACGAACAAGATCGTTTTTAATTATTTTGGTTTACAATTGTTATTGTCGGTGGTTTTATTATTATTCTCATATAATAATATTATTCAAATCAAATAAGATTGCGCGCGTAAAAACGTAGGTGGCGCTCGATTTTCTAGCAGCCGACAAAAGCACGTTTCTGATTTTGCCGGAGGAAATAATTAGATGAGAGCGAACTATAACGCTATACGCAACTCGCGCGATTATTACGCGTACTTTGTATTTCATATTAATAACATTGTTATAAAGTAATAAATTAAGTGTGTTTTGATAAAATCAGCGCTTATTTCTTTATTAATCACCAGAATAATATTTTATCAAAACTTTGGAAATTGTGGAAACATTGGAATAAACTCGACGCTGGTGAGTCTTTTTGTTTATCCCTTCTGCTTGTTGTTCATTCATTGTTGGACCTCGCTTATGCACGTAACCAGTGTCATCAACGCAATCAAGGCAATGCAGGTAAGAGTGGAAATCTCGTTCCCATGTGCACCCAGTACGAGGCGTACCCACGCATAAATCATCTTTCGATTTTTTTTAAAGTTTAATAATAAAACCTCGCGACTAGGGTTTGTCACATTATGGCGCCCAACGTTATATTTTCTTATGATCGAATTGAATTCTAATTCTAAATTAGAATATTAGTTTGATCTTAAATAAATAAAATTTTTTTTTCTTTTCGCGCCTTCTTTGAAAAATAATAATTTTTTTTTCTCATTAGAAACGCGAGTTTTTAAAGTGTATCACGTGTACAAATAATACACCAGCAAAGCACTTTTCGAACGAGATTTTCATTCACCTCAAATTGCTTTTCCAAAAAAAAAATAATAAGCTCGCTCTCTCTCACAAATTTACTGCTTTTTTTTGTAATATATGCTTTAAATATTACAAAGATATATAACGATATTCAATTATAATAAAATATTCTTTTAATACAATTTAACACCGCTTTTACGCATAAATAGCTTGCTTTTGTACATTTTCGCTATTGACTTTTTGCGCATGCAAATACGCTTTTTGCACGAATTATTTTAAAATTAAAATAATAACAACCATAGAAAAAAAATATATATGTATAAAAATGATCAAAAATCAATTTTTCTCATTACTGTTGCCACATTCGTTTTACCACGAGGAAACACGTAATCTCCAACACGGCTCGCGCAAATTGTAAACACAGCTGTGTTTACAACACAATTCTTGTCCCTTACCAGCTTTAAACTGAAATAAAGCAAAGTATAACAAAAAAAATAATATCAAAACTTTTGCCTTTCTTTCCACAACGAAGAAAATAAAATTTAATTCCATTTATTAATTTTAAATAATTTTCTTCCAGCTCGTTTTTGACAATTACTCATCGGTTGTCGTCTTGACAAAAAAAATAAAGGCATTACGGGTTTTTAAATGATTAGGCGCTTGATTAATTAATTAAACCAAAATAATTAATTAATTGAACCAAAATAATTAATTAATTAAACAAAAATAATTAATTAATTAAACCTAAATAATTGATTAATTAAACCAAAATAATTAATTAATTCAAACTAATTGATTATCATTTGAACGATTAATTAATTAAAAATTTGTTCTCTTCAAAAAATTTTTTTTTTTTTTTTTTTTTTTTTTCTTCTCATTATCTTCTAATTTTATTAAAATAAAAATTCGCTTTTATTAGTAAAACCATTTAATTCAAAATGGGTAAAGGTAATAGGGACAAAAACCAAAACAAAAACTTAGAGGGACAAGAAACCAACACAAGCCCAGAAATTCTGGACCAACAAAACGCTTTCCTAGCGCGTAATACGTTGGTACATTCTCCCCCTAACATTCAACAACAAAGAGCGTCGGCAAGCGCTCAAGCGCAAAACGATCCCCTAGAGAATCAAGCCTCTTCTTAGAACGCGCCTCCTAAGACGCCAGACCATGAGAACACGCTAACCGCTTCCGACCCTGAAAATAGTGACAATAGTGACAGCGCAGAAAAAATTTTAGAACGACATACCACGTCCGGAACTAAAATAAAAATTAAAATACCATCGCGACATACGCGAAAAACAAAAAAAACCCCAATCACTAAGTCACAAGCTAATAAAGCTCTTTATCATTTTCAATCTGAAATGAACAAATTTAAAAATGACATACAAACAATGTTCTCTGAACATCTCGTAGAATCGCGCCGTCAGACACGTGAATTATTTTCAGAATCGCGCCGCGAATTTATTTCATTTAAAAAACAAAATTCCAAAGAATTAGAATCGATTCAAAGAAATAATCAAGAAATGATAAATGCCCTTCGCAGTGAAACGAATAAAGCAATAGAGGCGCTTGCGCACAAAGTCTCGGAACAGCAAACGAGACAAGCACAATCGACTTGGCACGATTCTCGGTGGGCCTTCGACACCGTAGGGGAACATATACCGCCCCCCACTTGTCATCCCCCCACCCTAACCACAACCACAGTCACTACGTCGACTTTGGGTAACCCAGTCACCAGTAACATAGGAATAGAACCTAATTATCTTTTTCCTCCACTGAACTACAATACCCCTTCCGCGCCAGGACCCCCACCATCAAAAGTACTTTTTAATTCAAACCCCACGTACTTAGGGCATAATTCGACTTTTTCAAATTTCCAAAACCATAATTCAACGGTCCAACAACCGCCCCCTATCGCGCCACCCCTTCCGGCTCCCAGAAATCAAATCAATAACGTCACAAATTTGCACAAGATCGTAAAATCTTGGGAATTAAAATTTCCAGGCAAATTAGACGCGCATGATTTTATTGATGAATTCGAGCGTAAATTGAATGCGAGCGCCATCAACCCCGACGATGCTCTAGCAACAATGTCCCAGGTATTGTCGGATACTGCCTACACATGGTTCACATCATTCCGCACTACCTGGCACACATGGGCTGAATTTGCGGCCAAATTTCGAAAATCATTTGGCGATTCTAACGATGATCAAAAGATCACTAACAAAATTCAGCACGCTATACAATCCGAAAATGAATCGGGAATCGAGTTTATCGTCCGGATGGCAGCGCTTTACAATAAACTCCAAACAAAAATACCGGAAACAAGTCAACTTGACAAAATATATTCGGCTCTTCTTTCCGAACTACTTGTCCACTTTGACCGCGATAGCTTCACGGATTATGACGGTTTAATAGAAAAAGTGCGAAAATACGAGGAAAAAGTCGCGACAATGCAATCAACTAACAAAATTCGCGATCTTCAAAAGAAAAACCGTAATACGCGCGGGAAAAATCAGCTCAACGCGATCGAAAATTCATCGCTTCAAGCTGATGAAAACTCGGAAACCGCGCCACAAGCGGATCAAAAAAATGAAAATCCTCCGAAACAACCGAAAAATGACAAAAAGCAGGCAAAAGCAAATCCACAAATAAATTTAAATAAAGCAGAAATTTATAATCACCAAATAAATAAATTACAACAAAAATTAACGGATATGAATTTACCAGTCGGTCAATCCAAATCTAACA